CCCCCACACAAGGTTAAACAAGCCACTTACCTCAAATCGGCTCCAAATTCAACTTGAAACCACACTTTTGCCACGAGTATCCGACTCCAAATGGCCCAAATCTATTCATTTCAATTACATCTCGTAATAACATCTCAAGCAACTGAGTCTACTATTTAATTTACAGCTAAGACGCAAATTTAGGTAAAATGACCAAAATGCCCCTCAGGCCAACGTGGTCAAAATCGAGGTTCGAACCAAAACCCGGTTATCCATTCCCCACGAACCCAAATATGTGATTTGTTTTTAAATCGGACCTCAAATTGAGGTCCAAATCCCCAATTTTAGAAAAACCTAGGTGAAACCCCAAACCCCCAATTTCACCCATGAAATTCATTGATTTTAAGTGGAAAACATGTTAAATGATGTAAATGATTGAACGAATTAAGTAAAAATCGACTTACAAATGATTTGGAAGAAGTTTTGTCCTTGAAAAATCGCCTATGGGGTTTAGGTCTAGAAAGAATGATGAAAAATGGTGAAAATTCGACTAAGTTATGACATTGCTGGGCTGCAGATATCGTAATTGCGAACAGGGGTTCGCAATTGCGAACCCCGACCAAACGTGGGAATTGCGAAGGCTGGTTCGCATTTGCGAACCCTTATTATTTTGCCACTGTTCGCATTTGCGAAAGGTAAGTCGCATTTGCGACCACCCTACTTTCGCATTTGCGAGGGTTGAGATCGCATTTACGACCAGTGCTAAAATTCCCTTAGTTCGCATTTGCGAGGAGTTGGATCGCATTTGCGATCATAGGCCCAGGTTCCAGGCTTCGCAATTGTGATGCAAAGCTCGCATTTGCGAGCTCGCAATTGCGAGGCATATCTTCGCAAATGCGAAGATCACAGAAGGTACCAGATTTTACAAAGTTCAAAAATGCAATCCGACACCTATCCAAAACTCACCCGAGCCCTCGGGGCTCCAAACCAAATATGCACACAACCTCAAAAACATCCTACAGACTTATCCGTGCGATCAAATCGCCAAAATAACATCATATACATCGAATCAAGCCTCAAAACTCATGATTTCTTCCAAATTTTCATAAAACATCAAATTCCCATTTTAAGTCCGAAACACGTCAAACGACGTCCGTTTTCAACCAAACTTTACAGAAAGTGCTTAAATCATATATAAGACTTGTACCGAGCGCCAGAATCAAAATACGGGCCCGATACCATAGTCTTCTAATCAAATTTCATTTCCAATTTCCTTAGTTATTTCCAGAAAATAATTTCACACAAAAATTCATTTCTCGGACTTGGGACCTCGAAATTCGATTCCGGGCATAGGCCCAAGTCCCATATTTTCCTATGGACCCTCGGTACCGTCAAATTACGGGTCCGGGTCCGTTTACCTAAAATGTTGACCGAAGTCAAATTTATTCAATTTAATATCAAAATTTAGCATTTTTCTCACAGAATTCATATTTAAGCTATCCGGCTACGCGCCTGGACTGCGCAAGCAAATCGAGGCAACCCTAGATGAGGTTTTCAAGGCCTCGAAAGTACAGGATGGTAAGAAAACAAGTGATGACCCCTTTGGGTCGTCACACTTATATTCCCCAAAAAGTGGATCCCGCTCTAATAGCTCCGAAAAAATTAAATACGTGCATTAAGATACGAAGGCTTCTTCTTCCACAACAACGAAAGCACTTTTTCACTCTTTCATAGACTAGGGGATTTCATTTGGAAAAAAAATATTCTATACTAACGGATTCGGGTCCATAACCATGGGTTCCAATGCACGAGATCTTGTAGCACTTACCAATAAGGTCCTACCGATTAGTATTACACAGAAGAAATAAATTGTAGACACTAATACAATTAAATCCGCTCTTCATAGACAAACTTGGGATTTGCGATCCCAGGTAAGATCAGTTCAGGATCATGGGATCCTTTCCTATCAGATAGGACGGGCTGTAGCACGGTTGTGAGCACAAGGACAGACGAAACTTCTAAATATTTATTGGTAACTTATACAAAAAATAGTCAAATTACTAAATATATTAAAGCTTTTACACCACGGGATGAAATACAAATTATTTTCAAATTTTAAATTGTTTTAAGTTGATTAGAGGAAATTATTGAAGACATGCAAAAGAATCTCTGCCATAGCTGCAATATTAGTTGCCTCAAGAGAATGAAAAGAAGAAACTTCATTCTTTCTCATTTTCTTTCGTAGACCTTTCAACTGCTAACTCAGGAATTAACTTTTAACAATTATTTCACTGCCTTGAAAAATTTAGATTCTCAAGATACATATATCTGGGGCACAAAGCACTGATAAACAAATATTTTACCAAATATAGCCTTTGAAAATACAAGTTCCAAAATAGACATAGCCCTATCCCTCCAAATCTTCATTACAAACATAAACAAGATCATTAGTTTATCATTCCAAACTAAATCAAAATAAAAAAATTAGAAATCACAATCTCGAAAATAAATCATAAATCAAAAAAACAAATTTTATCATTAGGGAAAAGTAATTTTTTTTCACCTTAGATTCATTTTTGGACTCGTTGGCAGTTGCTTCAGTGTTTCTTGCCATAGGAAAGCTGTACCTTTAAATGTGCAGAAAAAGGGAACACATTAGAGAAGCCCCAAAAAATAAAACTATTTTGAAAAAACTTCATTGTTATGCATCACAAGTTTATCAATGGAAATATCTTGTAATAGGTGGAGACATCAGTAGAAATTCAAAGTTAATTAGACCAGATAGCATTCATGCCAAAAGGAAATAGTTTTTTTTTTAGAGAAGTATACGAAAAGTAGTGTATGTATTATACCAAAAATGCAATATTTTGTATTATGCGATTTCAAATGTGATCGAAGAAAAATTTAAGCAAAAGAGATGCCCTTTAATCTAGATGATGTTATCTTCTTCCCAGATAGTGAGAATTAAGTGTCCCTCTAATAAAACAAAAAACTGCGTGGTTTCCTGAAAAGATTTTAATCTAGTGTGATTTAGTGCCAACAATAGGTAAAATTTGTAGGCAAAAGTGTTTGAACAAATTAAGAGGGAGAGCAACTTGCACTTGCTCAAGATAAGGCAATATGATGGTTGCATATTCGTAACATAACGGATAATCTTATGGATATGAGATAACCATAAAGGATGCATCGGATGGACGTCTAGTGGTTGATATTATCCCTTCCCAACCAGAACTTCTTGTTTCCGAGGGCGAATCTATCAAATTTGATCAACCATTAACGAGTAATCCTAATGTAGGCAGATTTGGTCAGGGAGATGCAGAAATAGTATTTCAAGATCCATTACATGTCCAAGGACTTTTGTTCTTCTTGGCATCTGTTATTTTGGCACAAATCTTTTTGTTTCTTAAAAAGAAACGGTTCGAGAAGGTTCAATTGGTCGAAATGAATTTCTAGATTCGCAGATTTGTCGACTCAAGTTCGTAAAAAGAACCAAATTCTTTTTGGCGATTATTTGTGATCAAAAAAATAAAATTCTGAAAAGTCCTTTGTCTTATTTATACTCTTCTTCAAAATCTACATACTATGTGGTGCAAGGGATTCCCAGCATCTCGTAGAAAAAGAATATGTAATGTAGAATTTGAAGAAGAGTATTTGACTTTTATTATTTTTATTTCGTTCTTTTTAATTGGAGTAGTGTGACTATGTTACTATTGGCATATTTCAATGCCATAAGACGTATCAATAGTTTTCTATTCTAAATAGAAAGAAAGTCAAATTTGTCTAAATACTAGACATAAGAAATCAGGGGATAAATATGGGGAACGAAAAAATTCTAGGAGGGATTATTTGTCTTCCTAGTCTTCGACACAAGAAAGGGGTGTAGAAAAATCCTTTTTTCTTGTGTCAAAACGAAAGAGTAATGATTCTTGACCCTGTTTGCTAAAAATTCCTAGTCTTGGTTTCGATTTTTCCAGATGTATCAAAAACCCTTTACCTTACCCCCCCTTTACGTATAATATACTAAGTGGTGGACAAACAAAACAAAAAAAGAGAGAAAATTTTATTAATTAAATAAAACTTCTTCAATCAACTTATCTTATATAAAATTTTATGATGAAATATGAAAACAATAAAAAATAAATAGAGTAATGTAATAGAGAGAGTAAGGTTCTACATTAGATTAGTATAGAAAGGATTTGCACGATATCTAATATATTATAGCAGCCAAGAAATTGAGTGATTCCTTCTTTCTTCCAACTTTGAAAGTACCGATAGATACTATCATAGAAAAAGAAGAGGCAGTCCGAATAGTGAATTTTTCAAAAACATGATCAGAAAAATGAATCAATGGTGAGGAATATCGGTGGGGCGACAGAGGCACATGCGCGCTTGTCACTTGATGCAGCCAAGACCACGGGACCGTCCGTGGCGCTAGGCGTTGGGAGGCTTGCCAGGACGCCACGGGCGCGTCCAAGGGGTCATGGGGCATGGCTAGAAAGCTGCCCATGATAATATATATGCACACAATAATAAACACTATTTTTACGTAAATCCCAAATGAGTTTGTCTTAAATATTAATGAATTGAGCCAGGCAATCGTTTTCAAAATTAAAAAAGTTTAACCGCTAAACTTGTTCTATATCATTTAGATTTGAAGCGAGGAAATAATGTTGGAATGTTCACGTACACACACATATATACATACATATATACGTACATACACACACACAGACACACACACATATATATTGTAGAAATATTAGTAGTTGTGACAGCTGTACTTGGTGGATAAGGAATTGTACTTAGTTTTACAATTAGTTAGCTAAGAGTTTAGTTAGAAGAAGATTAAATTAGTAGTTTAGTGAGTTGTATAAATAGGGGTTAGTTATACTCATTGTAATTATGACACAAGAAATACAGAATAGTTCTCTCTCTCTCTCTCATTATCTATGTTAATCGACTCCAGTTCTCTCTCTTTAACCCAGCTCCCCTTCTCCTTTTTAACAAGGTATCAGAGCCACAGATCGGTGGAATTTAAAGCTGAGGAATGAGTAATTGAGAACAATCGGCGAGCAGAGGGTATTTTTTGGAGCAGAACAACCCTAATTCCTGCCATGGATGTGCTGTCCAAAGCTTCTTCATTTTTTACAAGTTTTCTGTGTTGTATCCTTTTTTGACCTAAATTTTAGTTCAATTTCTGGAATTCTAAGCTCATTGTAGTTGCAATTGCAAGTTGATTCAACTATCGCTGATAATTTTTGCACAAATGTCGATCAATGCTGAAGATCCAGTACCTACAGTTGGAGATCCGATCGAGCGATTCACCGACATTCATCCTAGGAATCCTTTCTATCTCCGTCCGTCTGACACTCCAGGTTGCATCCTGATCCCTCAACAATTAACTGGCATAGAAAATTATACTGCATGGAGTAATTCTATGAAGGTTGTATTGTTAGCAAAGAATAAACTAGGGTTTATTGATGGTAGCTGTCGAAAGGAACATTATAAAGAAGACCTAGTTCTTGAATGGTATAGGTGCAATGCTTTTGTTTTGTCGTGGATCACTAATTCAGTATCAAGAGAACTAGGAAATGGATTGATGTATTCGTCTAATGCTCATAAGGTTTGGATGGACTTGAAAGAGCGTTTTGATAAGAGAAATCTCACACGAATATATCAACTATATAGGGAAATCGACACAATGACACAGGGGAGTTCTACTATATCTGAGTATTTCTCTAAGTTGCGTAATGTTTGGGATGAATATATGTCATTAGTTCCACTGTCTGGGAGTGATAAGGCTTATGCACATCATATAGAACAACAGAAGTTAATGCAATTTTTGATGGGCTTAAATGAGACTTATGCACAGTCACATAGCCAGATTTTGATGACAGTTTCGATCCCATCACTGAACCAGGCCTATAATATGCTCATGCAAGATGAAAGCCAACGAATGCAGTCCAAGTGTGCTCAGCCATTGCAAAATCTGGACTTGAATGGTCCTACAGCTCTTGCTGCTATGCAGAACAACAGGTTTAAGAAATAAAATGGATTGTACTGTGATTATTGCAACATGAAAGGACATAAAAGGGAGAATTGCTACAAATTAGTTGGGCATCCAAAAATTTTAAGGCTAATAGGAAGAAAGGTTTTGAGAGGGCACAACAGTTTGGAACTAATAACAAAGGATCTTCAGTCAACAGTGCCAATTACTTGGGGCATCCAGATGCATCAGACTCCAATATTACTGCTCAGCCATCTGCTCAGTACATGTCAATGCCTACTTTCACTCCTGAACAGTACCAACAGATTCTGCAGTTGATCAACAAGCCAGTACCTTCGCAGGAAGCAGCTGCTAATATGGCAGGTATACCTAATTGCTCTAATGTTAGTTTACCTGATGGCACTGAATCCACTCCATGGGTGATTGATACAGGGGTAATAAATCATATGGTTTCTAGCTTGAATATGTTGCTAAATCCTGAACTAATTACACATAATGCCAGCAAAGTTCAATTACCAAATGGTCATGTGACCTCTGTTACACATGTTGGCTCAGTTTCATTGTTTAATGATGAACTCACGAATGTTCTCTATGTTCCTCTTTTAAAATGTAATCTTCTATCCATCTTAAAATTGACCAAACAACTGCAATATTGTGTGGGTTTTTATCCTGACTTTTGTATCTTCCAGGGCCTCTCCACTAGCAAGGTGAAGGGGATTGGTAAGGGGAAGGATGGTTTGTACTTACTTCAACCTACCAAGAAGCTATCATCTGTCAAAGCCTATGCTCCCAGTACTTCAATTCTTCCTGTGTCTTCTCAACATTGCCACTATTCTGCTCACTCCCATTCATTTTCAGTATGTCACCGGCGATTTGGTCATGCACCAGCTGCTGTTCTACAGAAAATTCCTTTTTTACAAAGTCGTTTGTTCAACAAAGAGCCTTTGTCTTGCACAATTTGTCCTTTGGCAAGACAAACTAGGTTTCCATTTCCCATTAGTACTTCTAAAACCGTTTCTCCTTTTGAGCTTGTACATATGGATGTGTGGGGTCCATATAGACAATTTACTTGCAATGGTTATAGATACTTCCTCACTATTTTTGATGACTATTCTAGAATAACTTGAGTTTATTTGATGAGAATGAAAAGTGATGTCATTGTGTTACCTAGAAATTTCCTTGCTTTGATTAAAACTCAATTTTCTTCTTCTGTCAAGACCATTAGATTAGACAATGGACTTGAATTTTTCAATTCTCAATGTACTGCTCTTTTTACTTCTCTTGGAATAGTGCATCAAAGTTCATGTGCTCACACTCCTCAACAGAATGGGGTAGCTGAGAGGAAACACAGACACTTGCTTGAGATGGCAAGGGCACTCAGGTTTCAAGCTTATGTACCTCTCAAGTTTTGGGGTGAATGTATTCTTACTGCTACATTCCTAATAAACATACTGCCTTCTTCAGTTCTTTCTGGAAAATCTCCTTATGAGGTTTTTCATGGTAAGCCTCCTTTTTTTCAACATCTCAAAATGTTTGGTTGTTTATGTTATTCAACCAAACCTAACTTCACTGATAAATTCTCCTCCAAGGTGATTCCAGCTGTGTTTATGGGATATTCAGATACTCAAAAGGACTACAAATTATACAATATTGCTACTGGGTCCTTCTTTGTTAGTAGAGATGTATCTTTTAGAGAGTCAGTGTTCCCTTTCAGATTTCCCAAGTCCACTTTCCTTGAACCATCTACATCATTCTTTACTACCCCATCATTTACAGATGACTCTTTTCCAAATTGTCTAGTCTCTCAACCACTTGATCAAAATATTACTGATTCCTTACCATCTCTGGACTCTCCCATTCCTCAATCACCTACCTTTCACTCAACACCTACATCCCCTGAACTATCATCTACATCCTGTTCCAATTCACTTCCTGTATCACTACCACCCTTGAGAAAGTCCACTAGAACATCTAAGCCTCCTATATGGCTCACAGATTATGTGCATTCTTCTGTTACCCCCTAATCAATCACTGCCTCCCTATCCTATACCTCTCTTTCTCCTTCCTATCAAGCCTACCTGACAGCTTTTTCCTCTATCACTGAACGTGCTTCCTTTGAACAAGCTGCCAAAGATAGCAACTGGATTCAGGCTATGAAGCTTGAGATTGATGCCCTCACTGACAATCTTACATGGGAAGTGGTGGATTTGCCTACAGGAAAAACACCTATTGGTTGTAAATGGGTGTATAAAGTGAAGTATAAGGCAGATGGTAGTATTGAAAGATATAAGTCAAGGTTAGTGGCCAAGGGCTTTACTCAACAGGAGGGTCTGGATGACCATGACACCTTCTCTCCTGTAGTGAAGATGGTCTGTCAGATGTGTTGTGTCTTTGGCTGCTCAGCATCATTGGCCACTTTATCAGATGGATGTCTACAATGCCTTCTTTCAAGGTGACTTGTTTGAGGAGGTATACATGTCTTTGCCACAGGGATTTGGTAGCCCGGGGGAGAATAAGGTTTGTCGGCTCCTCAAATCATTATATGGCCTCAAACAAGCAAGCAGGCAATGGAACTTGAAGCTCACCACAGCTCTTATCAACTCAGGTTTCACTCAAAGCAAATTAGACTATTCCTTGTTTACTAAAAAGCAGGATACACACATTGTCATCATATTGGTGTATGTTGATGATTTGCTTATTACTGGTAGTGACATCAAGCTGATAGAAGAGGCCAAGCTCATACTTAATAACATCTTCAAAATGAAAGACTTGGGTGAGTTGAAGTACTTCTTAGGAATAGAGTTTGCCAGGTCATCCAAAGGCATACTCATGAACCAGAGAAGATAAGCTCTAGATTTGATATCAGAATGTGGGTTAGGGGGAGGAAAGCTGCTATAACCCCTTTGGAGAAAAACCAGAAGCTCACTAGTTTGGAGTATGGCAAGTTGTTTGAACTTGACAATGATAAAGAAATGGAAGATAGGAGACCTTATCAGAGATTGATGGGAAGACTACTCTATATGGCAATCACACGGCCAGACATATCCGTTGCAGTTCAAACTTTGAGTCAGTTTATGCATGCCCCAAAAGAGTCACACTATGAGGCTGCATTAAGGGTGGCTAAATATGTGAAAAATCAACCAGGCTTAGGACTTTTGATGAGCAGCAGCAAGTCCAGGAAGATCACTGCCTTTTGTGATGCTGATTGGGCATATTGTATGGTGTCTAGAAAATTTGTTACTGGTTTCTGCATAAAGCTGGGAGAGTCACTAATTATCTGGAGGTCCAAGAAGTAGAGTACAGTATCGAGAAACTCAACTGAGGCTGAGTATAGGAGTATGGCAACCACAGTAGCAGAGTTAGTTTAGTTACATGGGTTGTTGGAAGAACTGGGAATGGAGGTTGATCTGCCAATGGAATTATTCTGTGATAATACCTTCAAATAGCATCGAATCCCATGTACCATGAGCGCATCAAACATATAGAGATAGACTGCCACTTCATCCGAGAAAAACTACATCAAGGGTTAATCAAGACAGAACATGTTACCAGCAAAGAGCAAGTTGCAGACATCCTAACTAAGGCCTTGGGGAACCAACTGCACAGTGAAATGCTGTGCAAGTTAGGGATGATTAATGTATTCCATCACCCAACTTGAGGGGGAGTGTAGAAATATTAGTAGCTGTGACAGTTGTACTTGGTGGATAAGGAATTGTACTTAGTTAGTTTTACAATTAGTTAGCTAAGAGTTTAGTTAGAAGAAGATTAAATTAGTAGTTTAGTGAGTTGTATAAATAGGGGTTGGTTATACTCATTGTAATTAAGACACAAGATACAGAATAGTTCTCTCTCTCTCACTATCTCTGTTAACCGACTCCAGTTCACTCTCTTTAACCCAGCTCTCCTTCTCCTTTTTAACACACACACACACACGCACACACACACACACACACACACACACACACACACACACACACATATATATATATATATATAATACTGTATACTAAGTAA